TGCACACATTGAACCACCAGAAAGCAAAGACATTGCTAGCTCAGCAATCTGTGTGGATGGTTTCAGATCTTGGAATTCCAGGTGAGAAATGGCCAAAGGACAATTGCCTCCGTTTCATCTGAACTCACAATCCCATAATAGCCAACTGCATTGACCCTGTCCTCTTGTGGGAGCGTCATGGCCAGCCTTTTTCACTCCTTTGTCCTCCCTTCCTTCACACCCTTCCTGCTCCTTCACTTGCCTTCCCTCATGCCATACCATGCTTTCCTCCCTTGTTCTTTCCTTGCATTTTGTTACTGCATCTCCGAGTTTCCGCATTCTTTGTCTTTCTTTCTGCCCACCACTCATTGCTCTCTGGCCCAATCCTTCTTTCCTCCTTTGTTCTCCCTTGCAATGCTTCTCCCCTTCGCATCTCACACTTTGCTGTTGTATCTCCCGTCCTGTCTCCTCTTCTTCCATATTCCTTGTGTCAACCTTTTCTATGCCGTGCTCTTGAACTCAATCACATGAACTTCCCCTTCCTTTCCGCAATGCATGTTGCTGCCCTTTCTTTCACTTGTACCTTCTACCCTTTTCCCCCAGTTTGCCTTACCTTGCATCTATGCAAGGTTTCCTTCCTTTCTACCTTTTATTTTATTTACCTTATTTATACCTCACCTTTCTCAACCCTGTAGGGTACTCAAGATGGCTTACATATATAGGCAACAGTTTGATGCCATGTAAAATAGACGCATATAATAAAAATATATATTAAAACAATAATTAAAAACACTTATTAAAATCAAGTTATCCAAAATCATCGTCCATGGCCGTTCCAAAATTGGCATTGCACTGTTCCATAATTCTCTAGTGGTTTACTAAAGGAACGCTTGATCCCACATCCACGTATGTAGCCTTTTCCTGAAAGTCAGTAGGGACCGTTCTCTCTCCCTCCCTTCTTCCCTATGGTCTCACTTTCCACTTTTGCTTGCTTTCTAGAGAAGCATCAGCTGCTAGGGCTATGCAAAACTTCAGAGGTCCGATTCTTGTATGGTTTGTTATTAGAAATCTCCAAAATACTAATTGGAACAGAACCCTTCCAAAGCATTACTAAACAAAACGGAAGTCTCTGAAACATTTTGGAGAGATTCGTAAAGATTTGTTGTTTCAGAGAGTTTCAAGATGTAAGGTAAAGATTTCCCCTTGACATTAAGTCTAGTTGTGTCCGACTCTGGGGGGGGGGGCGGAGGGGTGTGTGGTGGTGGTGGTGCTTGTATCCATTTCTAAGCCAAAGAGCTGGCGTTATCTATAGATGCCTCCAAGGTCATGTGGCCAGCATGACTGCATGGAGTGCCGTTACCTTCCTGCCGGAGTGCTGCCTATTGATCTATTCACATTCACATGTTTTCGAACTGCCAGGTTGGCAGAAGCTGGGGCTAACTGCAGGAATTCACTCGCTCCCCAGATTCAAACCACCAACCTTTCAGTCAGCAATTTCTTTTTTTTAAAAAATATCTTTATTGCAAAATTTTTCAATACACATTTAAAACATCCCCTTGACATTAAGTCTACTTGTGTCCGACTCTGGAGGGGGGGGGCGTGGTGATCTCGCTCCCCAGATTCAAACCACCAACCTTTCAGTCAGCAATTTCAGCAGGTCAGCAGTTTAACCCATTGCACCACTGTGGGCTCCATGTAGATTTTTTTAAAAAAAATATTTGAAAAAAATGAAAAAATCCTAGAAATTAGTGGATGTCTAAAACATTCTGAAACTTGGTAGGCTTAAATTTGTAAATGTTGTCTATAAGCGTGCCGAGTTGCATCCTGATAGCCATAAAAAAATGACGAATGAACCTCAAGATTTTTCCCATTGCTGCTAATGGAATAAATTGTAATGAAACAATTCTGAAGTTTCAGAGATTCAGATTACAAAATGGGACCTCTCTGACTCTTTACCATACGAATCTCTGAAACAAATTGCAAATCAGATTTCAGCTGCTTGAATGGAGGATTGGTAAGTAGACTGTCAAGAAAACCAGCCATGGCCTTTCAAGTTGAGAAGGGAAAGAGGAGGATCAAGTGAAGTGGAGGGAGATGGGGACAGTAAGGAGGAACAAGTAGGGTTGTGTTGGGGAGCCCCCGGTGGCGCAGTGGGTTAAACCCCTGTGCCGGCAGGACTGAAGACTGATAGGTCGCAGGTTCGAATCTGGGGAGAGGCAGATGAGCTCCTTCTATCAGCTCCAGCTCCTCATATGGGGACATGAGAGAAGCCTCCCACAAGGATGATAAAAACATCAAAAATCATCTGGGCGTCCCCTGGGCAACGTCGTTGCAGACGGCCAATTCTCTCACACCAGAAGCGACTTGCAGTTTCTCAAGTCGCTCCTGACATGACAAAAAAAAAAAAAAAAGTGGGGGAAGGCAGCAGCACTGGATATCTTTCCACTTCTATATCTAGCATTGGAAGAATCCAAGATGGTTGCTTTGAAGTTGTTGTTTTTAAATCAACTTTATTTTTAAAAGTTTTAAAAGTTGCATTACAAGTCAATAAAGTGAATCAAGAAAAGAAATAGAATAGAAACATAAAAAATGCAAAGAAAAAAAAGAAATATTGAAAAAATAAAAGAGAAAAATTAATGACCTCTGATCTATCCTCACCTGGCCAAAAGAAAACATTGGCATCACCCTCAGGGCCTCCCAATGCTGGCTTCTGTCTTGAAGGAAAAAAAAACCCCAAACCCACAAAATTTTCTTCGAAACTCAAAATTGGCCTGTACTTCTCTTCCTTGTGCAAAAAGTGAACAAAAAGTTTCCAGTTTTTCTAAATATTTCTCATTGTCCCTTCTTTTAGTAAACATGTTAATTTGTCCATCTTGGCCAAGTCCATCATTTTTATCATCCAATCCTCTGTTGTCGGTGCTGTGAGTTCTTCCATTTCTGTGCATAGAGCAACCTGGCTCCTGTGGTCACGTATTGCAACAGTTTATCATAGCCATTTGTATCAGTCAGAGCAAGTAGAAAAGCCTCAGATTTCAACTGGACATTTTCCCCCAAAACTTTCTGGACCACCTTATGCATTTGAATCCAATATTTCTTGGCATGTTTACATGTCCAGCACACATGGTAGAATGACCTCTTTTGCTGGTTGTATTTCCAGCAAGTGTTGGAAATCTCTTTACTACTACATCACACTAACTAGTTGCTATCATCAAATGGAACTTTTTCTGTAAAAAATGCATCGTTTTACTGTGTCACACCATGCAAAAACAAGTCACAAAAAGGGTTGGGAAACCCCAGTGGGATGAATCCTAGAATGGTCATAATGTTTGCAGTTTAAGATGTATTATAGGCAGAAATTGCACAGGCTCTTGGAGAACTAATAATAATAATAATAATAATACTTTATTTATAACCCACCCTCTCTCCCTGAAGGCACTCAAAGTGGTTTGCAAAAAACATAAATGGCAAACATTCAATGCCCCAAAACAGACAAACAACAGGTAATCAAGATGGAAAATGAAATAAAATGAACTCAGTATAACTTATAAACAACCGAAAACCGAGGATTAAACTAAATAAACATAATAAACACAAGGAGTCAAATTAATTAAAACATAATACATTAAAGGCATAATATAGCAGAAAAAGCAGGAATCCAATTTTCTGTGGAGAAAATGCAAAACCCAACCACCTTTGGAAGTCTGCCTAATGGTAGGACTGGTTTGAATCTAGCAAATTGCCAGGCACTGATATTTTTTTGTAAGTCTCCAAGACATTTAGTGAATCCACAAAGTGGGGTGATACACAGGGTTTTCAAACATATCCTGAATTTTTTAAAAAGCCTTTGAAAACCAATACAAAAGTCGATTGGCTGCCACAGCTTCTGCCAGCAATACATCTTGGGAGCTGTTGTTTTGTGAGCGCGCCCAGCGTTAGAGAAGTCATAGCTGCTTCACAGAAAGAAAGAAAGAAAGAAAGAAAGAAAGAAAGAAAGAAAGAAAGAAAGAAAGAGAACAATGGATTTTGAAGGTTATTGGCATGGGTCGAGGAAAGATTTGAAACTTTTATGCTCCTTGGAATAAGGACCCACTGCGTTTAGCAGATGGTCTTAACACCAAGTATGTGTACATGAGTTTGCAGGCAAATCTGGGGCATACATGCATATGCATGGCATGTCAAATGCACAAATGTCTTACCAATAGGTGTAGTGAATTCTCTGAGAATGGATAGCTATTGGTGGTGGGAAGCAGTAGCAAATCCACCCTGCTCCTCTGTTGTCGGGTGGAGCTGTATCTCCAACTCTGCCTAAGTTAGTTCAATGAGTGGTTGTAGCAGAAACATTTTATCCACCCACTAGTGAGATTCAGCTGCTAGGCCTGCCAAACTTTTTAAATGGAATAGTGTGGGGGAGACCCCAAAGGTCATCCAGTCCAATCCCCTCCTTTCAGTCAGGCTGGAAGGCACAATGGGAAACCCTCTTGGCAGACAGCCACCCAGCCCCTCCTTTAAAACTTCCAGAGAAGGAGACTCCATTGGACTCAGTGGTAGCATAGTTTACAGTTCTAACCATCAGGAAGTTCTTCCTAAAGTCTATGTGGAATCTCTTTTTCTGCGATTTGAATCCATTGCTTCATGTCTAGGACCCTCATCATGCGGGAATATCCACTTTAAATCCTGTTAATAATATATTTTATATTCTGCACTATCTCCCCGAGGGGACTCAGGGTGGATTACAGAACACATATAAGGCAAACATTCAATATCATTATACAATTAACAAAGACAGACAGTACATAAACAGAGGTAAAAGCTTCCCATCTTTTCCCATCTCTGGCATCTGGAGGCTGTGCTCGACTCCAGCCACAGGGAGGTGCTGCTGCTTCATCTTTCATTCTGAGCAGCTTTGTTATCCATAGATGCCCTCCCGATCGAATCACCAGCATGTCCGCATGGATGCCTTTTATTATCTCCCCGCCAAAGAAGTACCTATTTATCTACTCACATTGCTGTTTACTCAGGCTTTACTCTGGCTTCTCTTCAGATCGTATAAATCTTTTACCTTTTACTAAAGATTTCTGTGGAGAGGAACATTTATGAGTTTTTCCACATTGCTGTTTTTTAACTGCTAGGTGAGCAAAGGCTGGGCTGACAGCAGGAGCTCACCTCAACCCAGGATTGAACTGTTGACAATATTTTCTGCAGCTAGCAGTTTAACCCACTCTGCTAAGCCTGGCCTCCAGCAGCCACCGGATTGAAAGTGGATAGATAGTCAAGTGCTGCTTTGAATCTCCTTGTGGAGAGAAAAAGCAGGGTATAAACAAACAAAATAAACATAATAAGTGATGAGGTTCCTACTCTCGAGAAGCGGAAAACAAGCTCAACCACTTCTTCTCCACGGGACATCTTTTCACGTATTTGAAACATGGCTTTCATGTCCCCTCTCAACCTTCTGTTCTCCAAGCTAAACATTCTCAGCTTCCTAAGGAATTATAGGAATGCATGGCTTACGAATCTTTGATAGTTTCTCTGGACATATTCCAGCTTGACTGTCTCCTTGAATTGTGGTGCTCAGAACTGGAGGCAGGGTTATTTCTGGTGAAGTCTGGCCAAAGCAGAATGTTTGGTGTATGATTCCCCTCGATTTAGACCATATACAGGCAGTCCCCTAGTTACAATCACCCGACTTACAAATGACCCATAGTTAAGAACAGGGGTGAGACAACAGGAAGGGAGAGAAATCTTCCCCATCAGAAGGTAGGGAAATCCATTCCTGGAAGAGTTGTTATCATAGGGAAAAGGGGTCTCCAATGAAGCTGTATCTCCTATCCTTGTTTCCACAACAAGCCAATGTTTCCAAAACCCGATTCTCACAGAGAGAAAGTGAGGTGAAATCATCTGAACAGCAGCCCAGACAGCAAAGAAAACACAACAGGATTGTTCATCCTTCCTTAACCTATCCAAAGAAAGTCAATATTGTCTTCTTGTAGATACATTTTTAAATGTATCCCCAATGTATATACATCTCCTGTATATTTTCCCATTGATTTTCAGTGTATGTGTGTGCATTTTCCAGTTGCAAATCTGTCTAGTCATTTGCATCCTTAAAAACATAAACATGGTTTTGTACATATTTTTGTTTCCCCTGAAATGTGCTGCCAGCTTCACACATTATCAAGGCAAGCTGTGCTTTGTCTCGCAATGCCTCTCATACGGTGTGAAATAGACACTTCCAGTGAGAATCTCAATTCTAACTCCATTTCCCCCAGTTCTTCTTAGAAATGCCTTTCCCGGCATTCAAATCAATGCACTTTTGACATGTAAGTTCAGGACGATCCTTTGGGATATATCTGTTTCTTAGGTTGTTGGGAGAGAATGGTAATGGAATGCCACAAGGAATTAAATAAAAAGTGAGATATTATATACAGGTTAACCAAAAGACTTGGGTTTTTTGGATTTCAGATTTTTATTCTTTATTTTGGAATATCTACAAGGGGTGTGCAAAATTTCATTTTTAATTAGTAAGCCGTATCTAATTCATAAGTTTTGTATATACAAACAGATATCAAGAAACACTGGGGGGGGGGGGGGGGCAAATGCAAAAACTTAAGAATCAAAACTTACCCAATATTTTTTCGTTTGAATTCTGTAATGCTCGAAAGCCTATCCAAGTCAGTTTCATTTTCAGCACAAGCTGAAATTCCTCTTTAAATTAATGGTCTCTTGACATGAGGAGAGGAAAGCAGCAGGGCAGGACGAGCTGAGTGAGCTGGGAAAGTGACTGAGAGCACAGAATTCGGAGAAATAGAGTTTGGGAAAGCGAGGAGCCCTATGGCAGAGACTGCAAAAGGCCCTGCCCTCAACCACATTTCCCAATAGTTAACTCATTATAGTTACGATACGGACCCTGTCCAATTTCGGAAATACTTTAGAAACTATTTTCCCCTGCCCCCTAATTTCGTAATGAGTATTGAAACATTTTTTTCAATGATCGCACAGGCCCAATGTCTACATTTCCTTATATGTACACCATCCAGAAGTTCTTCCTAGTGTTTTTCAGTGGAATCTCTTTTCCTGCATTTTTAATCCATCGCTCCATTGTTTCCTAGGCTCCGGAACAGATGAAAGCAAGCTTGCTCCATCTCTCAAAAGAAATTCTTCCAAATATTTAAATATAGCTCTCATGTCCCTTTTTCTAAGCTTTCTTTTCAGTAAGCTAAACATAAAGATGCACAACTCTCTACATTGCCCTTCATATCTGAAATCCAGAGAGTTTTATGCATCCAACAAAGTGCCAATACAAGTTATGAGTGCAGGACTTCTTCATATGCTGCTCAGCTATTGTGCAACTTTGGGTGCAAACCATAGAGCTCCAAATAAACCATCTAAAGTACCTGTAAATACATCAACAGAAATGCCCTTTAGGGACATAAAGCAGAGTATAAATAAATATAACAGCAACAACAACTTCCACAAAAGTGAAAAGGGCCTAATGCTTGTCTTGGTCAATTGCAATACCATTCGTCTCTATTCTCCCTTGTTTTCAAAACTGACGTAGAGACCCTACTTTAAGGTTTCCAGGAATTCTTTGAGGTTTCCACAAATACAGTGATACCTTGAGTTAAGAGTTTAACTCATTCTGTGACTGAGCTCTTAACTCAAATCTCTCTTAACTCAAATCACTAATAAAATGTACTTTATAAATAACAAATAATGTATAAGTGCATGTTCATATGGAACAATAAAAAATAATGACCAACTTAAAAATGGTATAAGCACAAAGTTGTGACAAGGAAGCACCAAGTGAAGAAGAGGCAGAAGCCTCCTTTTCTTCTTCCTCCTGTACTCCTTCCAGCCTCTTTCCCTCTCTTGTTCTCTTTCTCTCTGTCTTTCTTGATGAAGCCAAACAGACTAGGAATAAAAACCACACAACATCAGTTAACCCAAATTCTCTCTAAGCGGACAGCAGTTTATCTCCCAAAACAGACAAGAGCATGAGGCTGCTCCCTTGAAACCCTGAAGCTAGTACTCCCTCTTAACTCAAAATGCAGTTCTTATGTCAAAGCAAAACCCAAACCAAGTGACAGTCTTAACTCAAAATGTCTTCATTTGAGATGCTTTTAAGTCAAGGTTCTGCTGTACTGTGTTTAGTTCTGAGCACCACCATTCAAGAAGGATATGCCCAGAGAAGGGTGACCAAGCTAAGCAAGGTTTTGGAAAGCGGGCCCTGTGAGGAATGGCTGATTGTACCATGTTTAAACTCATTTTTCAATAAGAACTAATTACTTATGCAGAGGGAGATTTATACCGTGAGGTTGCAGAAATGTGTGTGTATATATAACACTTGATTTGTATTCTATCCTATTTCCCCAAGGGGACTCAGGGCAGATTCCAGCATATAGACAAACACAGGCAAACATTCAATACCTTGAAACAACAAAACACAAATACACAGACAAAGGGAAATGCTTTGTCTTTCCTCTCCATCTCTGGAGGAGGTATTTATCTCCATTTCCAAGCCAAGGCACCTGCATTGTCCGTAGACGCCTCCTGGTCATGTGGCTGGCATGACGGCATGGAGCACCGTTTACCTTCCTGCTGAGGTGGTACCTATTGATCTACTCACATTTGCATGGTTTTGAATTGCTAGGTTGGCAGGAGCTGGGGCTAACAGAGGGAGCTCACCTCATTCTGTGGATTTGAACTGCCAACCTTCAGGTCAGCAAGTTCAGCAGCTCAACGGTTTAACCCGTTGCATCACTACAGCCCCTATATGAAAAACCCCCGAAGTTTCTGGGGTAGAATAATGTAAGGAGCGCACAATTAAACAGAAAACAACACTTTCGAACCAGGAACTGAAAATATTTTGAATTTTGTTATCTAGTGTAATAAACCAAGTGACCAGACAGTCACTCTGAGGAACACAAAGAGCACAAATAAATGCAGAAGAATCATTAGGAGGATGGCTAGAATCCTGCATCGGGTCTCATCTACCTGCGTCTCCATAGCTACGACTCTGCAGGGTCTTTGGGAAGTCCCTGGAAACAGCATCTTTGCAACGCATTCAGCAACACATGGAATGAGATGGATGTTTCATTGTCGATCCCCTTGAGGGATGGGATGCTGTGTTGCTTTCAACAGTGCGGTTGTTCTTAGTGGACAGGAGATTCTGGTCATAGCTTAATTGGAACAGAATTCTCTCCTCCACTGCTACCAAAAGAGTGATTTTGGAATGGAGTTGTCCTGATTAGAAGGCATGATCATCAAGTTTGCAGGTGACACTAAATGGGGAGGGATAGCCAATACTTCAGAAGACAGGAGCAGAATTCATAATGTTCTTAACAGATTAGAGAGATGATTGGCCAAAACTAACAAGATGAAGTTCAACAGGGACAAATGCAAGATACTCCACTTTGGCAGAAAAAATGAAATGCAACGCTACAGAATGGGGGACAATGCCTGGCTTTATAGCAGTTTGTGTGAAAAAGATCTTGGAGCCTTTATGGAGAACAAGTTAAACATGAGCCAACAATGTCATGCAGAGGCAATAAAAAGCCAGTGGGATTTTGGCCTGCATAAATAGGAGTCTATTGTCTAGATCCAGGGAAGTTATGCTACCCCTCTATTATGGAATCACCTGGAATCACACTGTGTCCAATTCTGAGCATTGCAATTGAAGGGAGATGTTGACAAGCTGGAAAGTGTCCAGAGGAGAGTGACTAAAATGATCAAGGGTCTGGAGAACAAGTCATATGAGGAGGCAGCTTAAAGAGCTGGGCATGTTGAGCCTTCAGAAGAGAAGGCTGAGAGGAGACATGATGAGGACCAAGGACAAAGATGTGAGGGGACGTCATAGGGATGAGGGAGTCGCCTTGTTTTCTGGTGATCTGGAGACAAGGGCATGGAACAATGGCTTCAAACTACAGGAAACGAGATTCCACCTGAACATTAGCAAGAATTTTCTAACTGGGAGAGCTGTTCAGCAGTGGAACTCTCTGCTCTGGACTGTGGTGGAGGCTCCTTCTTTGGAGACTTTTAAACAGAGGCTGGATATGTTAGAGTTCATTTCTGAAGTAACAAGTGATGTAAGGATCAATGTAGCAGGGAATGAGCCAAACCACCTGGCCAACATTGTGTAG